TGTCCCTTCAGATATATGGCACTCATTTTATTTTAAAAACAAAGTTGATTTATTGAGGAGCTGCAGACTATCTCAGTTTGCATATGCTTTTAGTGTCGAAAATAATTTAGCCATGTTTGAAACTGTAGTTAATAGCTTCATCTAAATATTGATCTGTTGTGTTATTGCAGGGAATAGATGTGAAATGCTCAACTTAGGAGGGAGCATAGACAAGGTATTCCACACTTCCCATCCTCCTCCTATAGCAAAGGAACATCCAACATGTCATGTGTCGCTCACTAACTAATAAACAGGAATCTGAAGTTGGAAAGAAACAACTGGATATCAAAGCAAAAGTATCACGTCTCCTCTTAGAAATCAGCTAACTATTCTAATTCTGGAGACTCTTATGGCCCTAGATCTGCCAGGCAGTTGCAATTGTTGCTTTAGTCAAACTAAAAAATTGTTAACTTTGCAGTGTAAGCGGACCCTTTAGCAGGAGAGCAACACAACTGCTAGCTTCCCTGTAAGTTCAGTGTGTTTCTTAACTGTAAAGATCATTTCCTTATCAAGTCATTCTCAATGTGTGTTATTTCATTCTGGTGCCTGCATGCGGCAGTACAGGAGATGGATACGAAGTCCGTGGAGGGTCAGAATACAAAGCTCTACTAGGTGATGGAGCTGGAGAAGTTGAGTACTTCCAGTCTCTTGACGAACGAATCATTAAATGAAGGTGTTTTGCTGATACTCTTCAGTTTGGTTGCTCCATGATTAAAGCTAATTGACTTCCTTTTTTAATTCTCATGGAGAAATACATATACGTTACTTTCAGTGATTCCATGTAGAGTATAAGAAGCTGAACATCTTTCTTTGCAGGGAGTTTCTGATCCTATTAAATGTCATTGCGGACTGGAGTACAATGTAGAACTAGGCAGGGATGCCATGGGTGCAAGATGAACTCATTATATAGATGACCACAGGTCCAGTGTGTTTAAAGTATGCATATGTGCGGCTGCCGTATGTACAGCTTGACAACTCCATATAGAGAAACTGGATAAAGTGCCAGTGCCGCAGGAGCAAAACAGCGCCCCAGATGAAACCAACACGGATGACGATTAACTTCTCTGACCTTAATCACATTAATGAGTGAACTTTCTTGTAATCCTTTTTCCTGACACTATAAGGCAATGGCTTAGCCTGATATTTTGGTAGTTGTGTAAGTTGAAACATGATGCTAAGCCGAACAATTTATTGTCCTTTTTTCGCATGATATCACATTTTGGTAGTTGTGAAGCCTAAACCATGATGCTTTTGCTACTGCTGTAGTCCCTAATGAAATTGTGAGATAATGTAGTTAAGCTAAGTTTCTTTTGTTTCAATAAAACAGATGCTGGTAGTTGCATAAGTTGAACCATGATGCTGGTTAAGCTAATCTCATTGATTGCACTCCCAAAAATCACAGGAGCCATTCAGAAAAAGGTATGGTAGTATTAGAAATTGATCGTGTAATGTACTGATTCAGACAGCTGACTAAAATTTTAATTGGGACACTACAGATTAGTAGAGTTCTTTACTGTTGAAATTTCTGAGGGGATTTATGGAAGGTTTGTTTATCTCTCCTCCCATTCCAAATTTCAGTTTAACATTTCTAGCACTTTCATTTTTCCTCAAAGTATTTTTGTCTGCTTTCGTGGTAAGCATACTATAGGTAGTATTCCATTATCACTGATATTTTATAGTTATAGTTGTACTTCTAATACAGTTTGTACAGAAATATGGTTGTTGAGTAGCATATTTTCTTAGGGTGTGTCTAGGGCACATCTAGATGTGCTCTAGTTATTGCACATCTAAGTGAGTGAATCAAGCATAAAGAGAAAAAGAAAAAAGAGAAAGAAAATATTCATACGAATCTTAATGTAAGATCAATGACATATGACTTAGATGTGCAATACTTATGGCACATCTAGATGTGCTTTAGCAAAACTGATTTTGTTACTAGAAGGTACTTGTGTTCCCATTGAATGAACTCAATGCTTATTTTTTGTTCACAAGCTCCAATATGGAAACAAAGTATGTTGTGGGGAGTGGGATGTACTACAAACTGATCTAAAATAAAGAAAGAGCAATCTTTGGGTGACAATTAGATTCATGATGCAGACTCAATGCAGATTGTCTTTCCTTTCCATTTGTTTCTTATTCTTGTCATCTGACGTTATATGCTTTTGTCTTGAATTACATGGAAGGTCAAGATGACCTCACACATACATGTTTCTTTTGTTATGTTTATTAATGTATGGATGCCTACTGACCCTAAATATAATTGGTTAAAATGTTTCCCAATGAAGTTTCTATGCTATATAAGAAAGTTGGTCTGAAATATTTGAAGTCATATTCTATTTTACAGGTTACTCGTATAGTTTCATAGCTGATTCAGTTGCATTAGTTCAGAACAAGTGTTTGTATCTAAAGCAAAGATAGCATATTTGTCTATATTTAGATAACTGTATATAAGTGTCATTAAGGATTATAAGCAAGATAAGTGCGCCCGGGACCGCCTCAAGAGACGCGCCCTGGGCGCATCCCAACCACTAGTATTTACTATATGTGCCTGAGTCGGGAAACATTTGCTGGCCACTGGTCAGATATTTTTCTACCACATGTAACAATGGACACGATGATTGAACCCTCTTAGACGCACCTTGCAGTAGGATATATGGTTGATGAGAACCGTCGGGATGTCATTTTCAAACTCCCAGAGTTTTTTTGGTGACATGGGTACAGGCCCTCTGTATGTCTTCAGGGATCTGTCCCGCAAGGTAGTGATCAAGATAGTTGTGGAGATCCTAGGATGCTTTGGCTGGTTATGTACACGATAGCGTTGATTCCTTTTGTGAAATACGCATCTATAGGGCAGAAAGCTAATGATAATGGTGAAGGTAAAATTTGCAAAGCTGCATCCGTAAGAGATAGACACATAGCCAAAACTGCTTCCGTAAATAATGGTTTTAGTTCCAAAGTATGCAAATGATTTTGCTACATTGGAACTACAACACACTGCTGACATGCTATGTTTCTATCTCTTGGGAGAGGCAGTGAAATATATTAGTTGACTACTCTGTTAATTTACAAGTATGTTGCTTGAGGTAACCATGGCACTATTCAGACTGAAATTCATTTTATTGCAGATCACAGGACGATATTTCGGGAGTCTAATGATCACGGTGCATTTGGTACAGCAGAGGACCATATTTTTGACTGATTTCATATGTTCTACAAAATTATATATTGGTTATTCCTTGTTATTGCGAATTTATCTTATACTATGTTAGAGACGATGCTTATAACTTTATCAACAAATAAACCCTTGCGCAGACTGTTCTTCAGGTTCAGTGTTCAAATTGTTGAAAAGTAAGGTCTAGATCTGCAGAGTTTGGGTGTTTCTCCTCATGTGTACATTCCATAAAATGCATTCGCATAAAGCATAGCTCATATAATTCATCCTGTACAGGAAAGGGAAAGTTGGATGATTTAGAGTTGTGTGAAAATTATTTCTCTGTTTCACCATTTTGTTTCTTTCTTAACTCTCACTTGCTCTATTTTCCAATCGTATACTTTTCTTTTGTATTATTGTACTAAACGCAGGTTGTTTGTCTATCACAGATATTGATGGCTTGGGAAATCATATGGCGATAGGGTCTGATGATGTCTGATGAAGGAATAGTCACAAGCAGAGATGGCCTAAAGGCTCTTGGATACAACTGTTCTTTTAGTATGCCATTGACGGACATAAGTCGATGTTTTCAGTCAGGATGAGCTTTGATTCTAAATGATATTAGATATGCACTCATGTACTTTCTACACGATTTTTCTTTGGTTTATTCAGTCTCTTGGGGTGCTCATAGAAGTAGGGTTGCGTATGTTCATACGCTTGTTGTGAGGGTCTTCGTCTGTATAAGTGTTTCTAAATAGACTTAAGTTTATTAAATTCCATATAGGTAATCCTTATTATTGAATAATAGTATTATTTGAAAGGGTTCATTTTCTACTCTTTCTGGAAGGATATACCAACGACAAGGACTAAGTGGCGCGGCAAAGCGTGCGTGCCCTTCTAGTCTATGTTACTAAGCTCCCTAGGATTGAAGGTCTCTTATTCAGTTAAGGACTTTGATTTTGATTAGATGTCCAATTTTGACTTGGTCTTAGGCATGGCCTTCTCTCGATGGATGGGTCCCCATGGTGTAAATCGATGATGGTGCGGGCCTTTTGTGTGTGTGTGTGTGCGCGCGCGCCTATATTTTTACTGCATCTTCGACATTTACAGCTGGTAGGGAATCAAAATATGTCAAGCTTCGACTTATTCGTTTTGACCGCACTGCCTCCATCGACCTCTTCATAAGGATCATGTTCCCGTGCTCCTCGACGCAAGTACGAACTATAGCACACGTGCACTGACGCAACATGCTATTGCTCTACTTTTATTGATTGGAGTCTTCAGGTCGATCGCTCCACTTAAAAACAATCAGAACACCATTAGCTAAACAAATGAAAAACGAGCAACTACCAGAGACTCTCGGAGGCAAATGGCGCGACAAAGCGCACATAATCTTCTAGTTATCCTACTATTTATAAAGAAAATTATTTATATCTACGATGCCAACCATATACAATATGAAAATACGTTATCTGATGATATGTACTCTTTCCGTCCGGAAATACTTGTCCTTGAAATGGTTGTATCTAGACTTATTTTAGTTATAAATATATCCATTTACAACCATTTTGAAGACAAGTATTTTCGGACGGAGGGAGTATTTGGTATTCTACATGTAGATGTTTTCCTCTATAAATTGATCAAAATTTATAAAGTTTAACTTTAAAAAAAATCAGTAGACATTATATTATGGAATCGGAGATTGTATTATACTGGCATGAACAGACACGATGACAATACATGCAGTCAGAACATGCACATGAACACAAGTCACAAACCAATGACCTAGCAAAGCGCTCGTAGCTCGATCTCAACTTGAGCCGAGGAGGCTCTTGAACCACTGCACCGAGCTCTTGGGGTATCTCTTGAGCTTATCGTTGTAGTCCACGAAGTAGAGCCCGAACCTGGACGTGTACCCGGCCGCCCACTCCCAGTTGTCCAGCAGAGACCACGCGAAGTACCCACGCACGTCGCACCCGTCCTCCCTGCGTTAAATCACCACATCATTTAGGGGCTCATACGGAAGCAGTACGTACACACTTTGCTGCAAAATGCAGCCATGGCAATGCGAAAACTAGAGTAGCACAGATTCAGAGATGATAGTGGTAGCACGGTGCAATACTTGATGGAAGCGGCCAGATTGGCGAGGTAGTCGTTGTGGTACTTGATCCTCTTGGTGTCCTGGAGGGCGTCCTTGCGTAAAATGAAGGGGCTGTTGCTGTCATCCATTCCTGCATCAGCATCAGGAATCACACACTGTCAAGCTCTGAAAGAGCTCTATTTAGGAGGATAATTCTCCAGGCCCGTACCGTTTTCGGTGATGTACACCGGCGGGCGGTTGTACCTGTCCTTGACATACTCCATCACGCTCCTCATCCCTCTGGGCACGATGTACAGCCATATCGAATTCGCCTGCGTAACAGCATTACACTTCAGTTCAATCACATGCAGTTTTACGTTTTACTAGCAGCACTGTCATCTTGGAAAGAATGTGTGGGCCCCAAACTCACCCTATCCCCAATCGGTTTGCCGTTCTTGAAGGCTGCAAATTGCAAAAAGCATACTGTATCAACTATAAATGCAGCAAGTACTAAGATAAGAAGCTAACTCGTGAAACTGTATTACAGATCAGATATATGACCGGTATGTTTAGTGTACTGCTAGGAGTAGCATAGCACGTCTGAGGAAGAGTGAAGCATGAAGGACCGTCATTGACTCGAATGTCGAGAGAAAATAAATAATCCCACCTGGGGTCCCGCTAGTATTACATGATTAGTTAACAAAAGTCCAAGCCAGGTCTAAGGTGGTCGACCAAAGTCTAAGCTAGTCAACAAGGTTCAAGGCAGTCAACAGAAGTCTACAAATTTGTCGTGATTAACAAGTCAAAGGAGAAGGCAAATAAATGACAAAAGTCAATAATGAAGGCAAGAAGAAAAGGGCAAAGTCTAAATGAGAACCAATTAGCCAAAGGTCCATTCATGCATGCTGAAGGGGAGTGGTGCACTGTGAACTATATAGACAGTGTCGATGTTTCGTAACTGGTGATGACGTATTTGTTCGGCGGGGCATGCGAGTGGTGGATTGAGATAGTAAGGCATGAGACATGGAGTTTACCTAGTTTCGGGCCTTTCGTGAGGAGGTAAGACCCTACTTGTGCCTTTGGTGATTATATTGCTCGAGTGTTCGCCGACGATAGGGAGAACCACCGAAGAGATCTGCTTCTTGGGTTACAAGATCTCGGCTCGTCGGTGAAGAGTAGGAAGATGGTGGTCGGTGAGAATCCTAGCTCTAGGATGATCTAGAATGTGTTGGATCCTCCCGAGATGGTCCCTAGCTCGCCTTATATACCAGATGAGCTAGGGTTACATGGCTCAGGCCGGTGTGTCGGTGGGCTCGCGCCTCATGGTCCTACCGGACCTTGTTGCTGCTGGACGTCCTCTGGCTGCTGTGCCCTCCAAGTAGATTTTTTTTTTGAGAATCTCACAAAGCTTTATTACTGAATCATAATGTTCATAGGTACAAAAAGAAGATCGCCGGGTTGTCCTAGCCAAGTGTGTCGGCCAAACCCTAAAGATAACGCATGCTTTGCGAGATTATGGGCCTCCGTATTGGAGGCCCTATACTCATGAGTAAACGAACATGAAATAAAGGTAGTTGCTCTAGTCTTGATTTCTTCGACAATGGCTCCAAATTCTGCTGAGCTTCCCTGTCTGATTGCATCTACCACCACCTTGCAATCGGAGGCAACAAGTAAATGGTTGATATAGAGATCTTCTGAAAGTGCTAATGCCTCCCGAACAGCTAGTGCTTCTAGCACTTGGGGGTTGTGCAGTCCTCTGAAAACGAGAGCTGACGCTCCCATGAACAAACCTCTCTCATCCCTGCAAACCACACCAACTGCGCCAAACGTACCTGGGCGTGACACGGCCGCGTCCACATTGAGTTTGTAGTAATCTGTTGGTGGTGGAATCCACGTACGGGGTCGTGGTACTGCTATCCCATGCGCTTCCTCCTCCTTCTTCTTCAAAAACTCTATGTCTGATAAGTAAGCTTTGATGAAGTTGTCAGTGGCAAACGGAGTCTGGTATATATCCTCATGTATAGCTTTCCGTCTTGCACTCCAAATCGCCCATAAAGTAACAATCATCAACTGAAATTAAGTAGATGCTCCAGGGGTTGACTCTTGGGCCGAGTGGCTGATTCGGTGCCACGTATCCGCGTGAGGCAAGTGCCTCATCTATCACTTCATCGACGTTCCATATCCTCCACAATAGTTCTCACTTTAATTGGTCCTCACTTCTCATGGATTTGTGGATCTAAACTTACCATACAACCCCTCCTACCTACCACCATCATGGATAGTCTATGGCATTTGTCGAGGCACCCTCCTCTGTATAAGGTCTCCAATGCACATGCTACTCATTCACTCTTACTTGAATAAACTCAAGAGGAGAGCACTATTTCTCTCGGGCCTTAGTATCAAGTTGCATTAGAGCCGAGTTTGAGGAATTGCGTCAGGACTCAGATCAACCTCAGCTAGGACTTCAAGAGAGACTTCCAAGGAGTTGTGTATGTCTCGGAGGCTGCGATCATCCAGCCCCACCCGAGGCCTTTTTAACATAGGACTAGGCCGGGCTTAGAGGCGACTAAACCTATTCAAATAACGTTGTTGTCACCGTACGTCTATAAGGTTGTTGCACGCACCCTCGCTAACTTATCTGCGATCACTCTACTAAGGTTATGGCTCTTGTTCACAGGCGTAAGATATCTGCTTTAAGCTCTCTTTGGTCTTTGATGCCGCCAGGTTCTGTTACCTTTCTCTCTGATGCTGCAATTTTCTTCGAGCTGGGCAAGTGCGATGCTAGTGTGTGGGATTGAATCATGTTTGCCGGTCGTGGTGGCCTGCAGCGACTCCATTGCTGGCATTCTTGCACCTAAGCTAGCAGAAGCTCTTGTTCTCCGCTGCGATGTTTACTTGGCACGCAAGGGGAATATTAACTCGTCCGTCTTCGCCTCGGACTACCTTTCCTTGGTGTAACACCTATCGATGGTTGGTGGGATCTGTGGTGGCTGAAATCAAGTTTGTAGCGTCTGGCTTCACTTTTGTGGTCGGCAGAATAGTGTACCTTCTCATGTTTTAGCTAAATCATTTTTGAGCCCTAGTGGTCTTTCTATTTTTTTTATTCTACTCCAGATTGCATCTCGGAGACGCTTTGTAATATTGTTGCTTAATCAATAAAGTGTCGGCCTTCTCTTTAAAAAAAGATACTCCTAGTCGAAAGTTGTTTCAGTAACAATGATAAAAAAAATATCTTTTCTAACACAAATTAGAAAAAAACTGCTGAGATTCGGATAGCTGACTCACGTAGGCTGATGCTCCCGGTGTCTGCCAAGGTGTTGTTGAGAAGCAGGGCGATGATGTTCGTGTCGTTCTGCTTGGTGTAATAGGTGGTGTAGTGGTTGATACCCACGAAGTCGAGTGTCCCCTTAACGAGCGCGGACTCCTCCGTTGTGAACCTCGGCAGCCTCTCCCCTACTCGCTTCCTCATGGTGGTCGGGTAGTCGCCGAAGAAGAAGGGGTCCGCGAACCACCCCAACTGGAACTCCTGCGCCCTCTTGGCCGCCTCCACATCAACAGCGGCATCTGACATCGGCTCATACCACACCACGTCGAACGCCATCCCGAGCTGCCCATTCTGCGCCGCCTGCATCAAGCTCGACATAGACATGGATATAATTGTCAGGATATGGCATGGATATAGCTAAAGTGAGGTGTGTGGGTGTGCGATCACCTTGTACTTCCTCCTGTACAATTGGGAGACGGCGGCGTGGGCCAGGATGAAGTTGTGGGCGACGATGTAGGGCTCGGTGCCGGAGTTGCCGGATTTGCAGTAGAGGTGGAGCAGCAGGGAGCAGCGACCAGGAGCCTGGATCCCGACATCGTAGCCATTGACGGCCACATTGTGCGGCTCGTTCACCGTGATCCAATGCTTCACCCTGTCGCCGAACGCCGCGAAGCATGTCTCGGCGTAAGCCACGAAGTCGTTGCTGCATTTTGAGATATTTTTTTTTATCATTTAGACCATGCACTATAAGCCATGAATGAATCTGCATTAAGTTGCAAAAATTGCAGGTTAAGGGTGGTGTGTGCTCACACTATCTGCCTGTCCAGCCACCCGTTGTACTTGTCCTCTAGGGCCTGGGGGAGGTCCCAGTGGAACAGGGTCACATATGGTTGAATTCCTGTAAGATTAAGAATTTCACATGTCAGTGTTGATTCGAGGACCTTATCAACCCAGATTTTAGCTTTTCTTTATATATGGTTCCTCCCAAATTCATTTAATGAAGACCAACTCTACAAGGGGTTTTCACTTTTCACCAAAACGCAGTCACCACCTAGGCAAACAAAAGGAAACCAGCACCTCACAAATTCATGTTGTGATTCCATTCACCTTTAGCAAGAAGGGCATTGATCAGTTTGTTGTAATGGTCGATGCCAGCCTGATTAACCTGACCAACACCATCTACAAAAAAGCCAAAACATTTGCATATATCAGAATAGAAAGCAACCAAACTGACATCATGGACAAATCTGCTAGTGACCTACGTACTTGGGAGGATTCTTGCCCACGCGATGGAGAACCGATATGCGTCCATTCCCATGTCCGCCATGAGCTGTATGTCCTCCTGAAAAAGAACAACCATCCCATAGTGTCACAAAGAATTGTGCAAGACCTGCTACGTATATTAAGTACCCGTAGTTCAGTAGAGCATACTGCTTACCTCGAAACGATGGTATTGATCTACTGTGATGTCGGCATTGCTGAAGTCGCTGATCTTTCCTGCACATAGAGAAAGAGGAGATTTTCAAATATAAAAAAACATAGGAGGAAACAGGCAACACCTCTGTGTTATGGTTGTGTCTTGTGGAACCAGTCAGAGTTTCTAAGGGCTAAGGGCATCTCCAAAGCGGACCTTCAAACCATCTGCATCCGTTCGGACTGACCTGTCCGGACATAGTTTGTCATCCAATGCGGCACTGTGTCGGTTTGGACGTTCGTTTTCCCGTAAACCGGAAGCAAACTAGAAAAGCTTTGCAGAAGTCCGAACATCCACATGACGAGCCAAAAGCCACCACGTGTCCTTCTCCCCTCTCCATATACATAGGATTTGGCTAAATGTGAATGATTAGCGGCATGTATTCGTCGGAAGGCGATTATTACCATGCTTCCTTTGACGGAAGGCGAGCTGCATGCTTGTTCTTTTCCTAATGTTCATTAGTTGCATAATCTAGCAATAATACTAATGGATGCATGTTTTGATGGAAGGTGCGTGTATGTTTTGGTGGAAGCTACTGATCCTCATTAGCATACTATTATGGCTACTTAGAGCATCTCCAACAGCCTTTGTATATTTGGCTAGGATTGCTAAAAAATGGAAATATAGCAACTTGGCCCAAAAATGTTGCTCCAACAATCTTGTATAAGTGGTCCCCTCACAAATTGTTTTGAAAAGCTTGCTATATTTGCACCCACACTTGGTATATATTTGCAAACTGGAGAGGCACTTGCTATAATTTTTAGCAGCCCAGTTTTTGTGGTCCCCTACATCCCTTTGTTCCATTGACAAGTGGACCCCACCGCCCCTAGATTCCCGCTGCCCTGGGCATGGCACATGTCCCCACGTGTCATTGAGAGGCTTGCTAAATTTTATAGCAATGTTGTTGGAGCAAAAAACTATTGGGGTTGCTAAATCTTCTCTTTCCTCTTGCTATACCTAGTTTTTAGCAAGTCGGAATAGCAATGCCGTTAGAGATGCTCTTAGTGTTTGGTGGAAGCAAACTAGTCTAGCTACTGTGTGTTGGAATTTGGTCTATATTGGACCAGCCCAATAATCATTTTCAGAATTCCTAATAAAACATAGAGTCCACTCAACCAATTCATGTAAGGCAAGAGGTGGGACCAAAGTTTAGTCCCATACTGCTCACCTAGTAGGAGTTGGACCTCCTTATAAGGGAGATTGTTTCCCCACATGTATGAGTTTGAGGATAAGAGAGACATTCACGTGTGCTCCTCCTCCGCCACCCGCCTCGCCGCGTCGTGGGTTGTTGGAATGAGTTGAGTCGTTGTCTAAAATTTTAGAACGCATGCTTTTTCCTGTGCCTATAAAAGAGAGGTCACTCCTCTCCAGAGAGACACATCAGGAGCGCTCTGCGTGCCTGCTGACCTCTTCATCACGAACGCCGAAGATGGGCAACAACGTCAGCGCCAACCCCAATGCTACTGCCACAGCTCAGTACGTGTTCGTGTTCTTTCTGTTTGAGATCCTACCATAGTTTCTTGTTCTAGCTTCTGTTCTAGATATGTTCCGTTCATACTCACTATTTCATGTGCTATTTGCATACTGTCTATCAGAGTGCATGGCTTTTCTTATCTCTGCTATAATAGTCATGTTTTATCTACTATTTCTATTAATAAAATCGCATGGTAAATCGCTCATATTTCCAAAATTGTGTTTGGCGGAAGCTAGCTATATGTTGTATGTTTTTTTGCGGGGTTAGCTATATGTAGCATATTGTTAGTGCTGAAAATCCTTGTCAGCGAGAGTAGTTCAGCTAGAAGAATAGTTAGTTGTGTACTAGTTAGCCTTATATGCATTTTCATTTAGAAGAATGCTACTTTTTAAAGTTATATAGTATTGGATGACTGCTACCATATCACTATCAGTGGACTACTGGTCTCCACTGGTCAGCGAATGGATGCGATGTTTGGTTTGAGGGTTAGCTTTGGAGATGCCCTAAGTCTCAGCATGCTTTGACTAATTTTAGGTCTCTTTTGGTTCATAGGATAGGAATATCATATGAATAGGAAAATCATAAGAAGTGAGATGCCCTACATCTTAATTCCTATAGGAAAAGAGATGTCTCCCCGCCCGGAGCCTCTCACTTTAATCTGGGCAATTAAACTTCCCCTGAACATTCAAATCTTCCTGTGGCAATGGATCCGGGGCCAGGTACCTATAGGGGAAGAGGTACTCAAGAGGAATGGCCCAAGAGATTGGATTTTCCCCCTGTGTGGGACGGCGGAGGACTCGAATCACATCTTCTTCACTTCCGTGTCCGCACAATTCCTTTGGAGTTGCTTCCGAGAGGTGGTTGGCAGACGCTGGTGCAACAACAATTTCCCAGACCTCTTCAAGGAAATCCAGGCCTCTCCACAGCGTTCCCACCACATTAGGTGGCTGGGTATGGGTGCTCGCATGGATGCTATGGATAGTCCACAATAAGCTTGTGATCCAGCGTGCGCCTCTTCGACGAGCTACTGACGCGGTTTTCAAAATGTGTGGCTATTTGCAGCTCTAGCGGTAGCCGCCCACAGGACCGAGACGCCATCAACATCTTCATTGCAGATCTTCGTGCGATGACCCTTCGCTTGGCGCCTTCGCTTCCTCCACCACCACCGGAGCCGGATTAGCCACTTGTTGTCATTGTGGCGTGGCAAAGCCGCTTGGGGAGCCTTCCTTGGCCTGGGCTACCTTTTTCGTTTTATTTAGGACTTGTTGAGTTGTGCCCTCAGTAAAACCCTCTTGTACTTTGTTTGTGTGGTTCTTGTGTGTATGTGGTGTGAATCTTTATGTTGGATCTTTATGGCTCTGGTGGTTTTATTTATATATAAAGCGCGTGAAAGCCTTTTTTGGTAAAGACATGTTATTTGATGCATAGGATATAATTTTTTTCCATTTAGTTTAGGCTAATACTTTTCCTTTTGAAATATAAAGGATTGATTCCTATCATACATAGGAATATGAATCCATTACTACAAACCAAAGGGCTTCAAAGAAAAAATTTCTACAAAATTCTTATCCTATAGAATTCCTCCAAACCAAAGATGGTTGCCCAATACATTAAGTTCAGTTAATTCTTACCCACTATCAGCTTATCAAATACATGAGCAAACTAGACCAAAACCCTATATGACTAGATCAGCACAGCCTTGTTGATGCCTTCCCAATACTTGGAGTCCATATCTATGGTGGAAGTTGTCCCACCAACCTGCTAGTGCATTTTTGGACCGGCGGATGCAACTATTGAATGATCTCCCTTCAAGATGCTGATTGGAAAACCACTTCATGTTCGTGGTGAACACTATTTTCCAGTACTTATTGGTCAGGCTCAATAGCGATGAACTTGCCTCGTTAGGCTTCCCTGGTTAATATATTTCAACACGTTCAAAGTGATTCCCATCTTTGTAACATTGATGTAATCTACCAATGTTTGTGCTTCACAGCATAGCCATCACTTCTAGAGATGCCGAATCAGTTACACCTTCAGTTACTCCCACAGTGAGGAAGCAAGATAATTACCATTATCGCTATTGCCCTGGTTTCTCCATTCACTGAGTTCTTTGCTACCGTGACCTCAGCATTTATCTTGACGATCCTCAATAGCAGTGGTACCTATTTCACTGATGTTTGAATTGTTCCTTATCATGCTTTCAACAACTTATGTTCAGTGCATGAGAGGTCAGAAATGTAGCTCTGAACATATCCAATGATCGAGCCTGTACTTTGATATATGCTCACATGTAGTACCTTCCACCGTGCTTCCTCGATCACGCACAATGTGATCAGATGAAGTCGTCTAGGTTAATACTTTCACTCAAATGAAAGAGCCATTCTTTTGAGTAGAGAGAGATTGACACACACATATGCTATGTCAATGATTCATCTTCTAATTCCCAAACACAACCAGAGTCGAGCATACAAGAGAGCATGTCTTCAGGAACCTCATGTTGAGTTGCATATGCCGCAAACTTCAGTCCAGACAATGTTTCTATGCTCGAACAATGCCGTTGCAGGTACAAAATTTTAAGACAGACGCCACGCAAAAACCTAGATTTTAGAAGGTACATTTACCTTCCATAGCTCCAGGAATCTTCGGTTTTGCCACTGCTCGACCTCGATGTTCCTTCTAACCAATCCTCTTTCTTTCTTCATTCTGATTAATATTTTGTATGCGGATCATACAATGAAAATTCTCATTATCTCAGGGTACAATGCCCAAAAGTCCCCATGTGCCCTATTCTTAGCGATATTAACCTGATAACATCTCCATCTAAGGAAAGAAATTGCTCGGTTGAACCTATGTTTTTACTTGTTCACATATTATGTGTAAGATCTTGAAGCGTAATTTATTTTTCTTTTGCATAATACAATCATCACAGCTAAAACCATTTGAGATGTGAGAGAATTACATGTGTATTAAATTCATATTACCGTATGTGCTTCAAATTAGTACTGCTCAATTGTAAACTAGAGAGTTTTCATTATCTTCATGTTTTGTATATATACTAGTGGTGACTTTATGTTGTAGAACAACTTGAATGTTGCAATGACGAGCTTCCTTAAATTCTCTAGGTCTTCATGAGCAATAAATTTGGGTGCATCACTGCCTAGTTCATTAGGAGAGCTTTCAATAGACTTAATTATAGCACTATGTGCATCCAGCTGTATGACACTCCTACTCCTCGCATTAACATTGATTATAAGACCTTAGCAATGTTGAATGACCAAGGTGCATTGATGCAAGAGTATCTTTATTTTTGACTTGTTCCAACACCCATTATTATTCTCTTTTTCATGTAAGTGTTAAGGTCTAGACTTGCGCTTAGGTAATGCATGAGAATGCTGCATGAATAATGCGGAAAGATTATGCAGTAATTTTACTTGGCCAACCTTGGGTTGGGTTATGACCAGATTGCCATTAAAGCATAAAGACGTCGAACAATGATCAAAGCTTAATTCTCAACATATTATATTGACATTCTTTCTAATACATCCTAGTTAAAAGGATTGATAGACTACTCACATAAAAAAGGAACTCTTTCTTTTCCAAGAGCCATCGTATAAGGTACCTCAAAGTTTAGCATGCTTGGCTTGAAGAAATTTGAATATGGAGTTGGCGGCACAAATGAACAGCCGCCGAAGAACCTCGAGAAGAATGAAGAGCATTGTTGATAGGGGTCACCCTGCATGAGGCCTTTCCGGTTGTACAGTGGTGCGCCAACAATTTCATGTGTTGTGTGCTTATTTGTACCATGTATTGTATCCTCATTTGTACTCGTAACTTATACATATTCATTCTATCAATGCACCGATACGCAAGCTTTACGTATTCGCGAAAAAAGTTTCCATCTAGCTATCTCATGTTAGTGATGTGTGTACTAGTGTGGTGGTGCCACTGGTTCTTATTTACGACTATCTTGCCCTTATAATTGTTGAGAATGTACGTGACTACAGGGCATTGAGGGGACGTACTAGCTTTGGGTTATGAATGTTCTTTTTTACATGGTATGTGTCTTATTTATTTATAGAATAAAGATCAAGTTACAAGGCACTTATACACCAATCTTACATGACTGAAATGATAGCACAATCATATGCAAAATAGCAGCGGCTGTCCCTCTCCTTTGGCACCACCGCGGTCACCAAAGGGAAAGAAGAAAGATCACCTCTTCACCCAAACTCGGTGCGGCTCCATCGCTGATTTGCAGCTTTATAGACCTTCAAAGTAGTTTGCCAGAAGCAAAACCATTGCCACTGAAAAAATCAGACCGGAGAAACATGTCCCCGGACACGCTAGCGAACTCCAGATCCGACACCCCTGCACGACGGCGATGTCGGAGGAGGAAACTACAACTGTCAGCCTCCAACCACAAACCCAGCAGAAGATGCACCATCCTCCAGTTGTCACTTGCGTAGGCAACCGTCTGCGCGTATTTCTAGATGACAAAACCTCCCTGCTTCACCATGACATTGGAGACAACACCGCAGCAACGGGGACAGAGCAGAAAGAGAGATACACCTGACAGAGTCGCCGCCGCCGCCTTGCCGACACCATCCATGAACCCTAACACCGCTGATATGAACGATGGGCAAACACACGATGCCATCAACTCTGAACACCATCAAGAAGGGCACCGTCGGTGTGGGAGTGGAACCGAGGCAGATTTATTCGTCCGGACGCCGCTCCCATCACCCCAGCAGCGCACCACGATCTACAAATTCAAACCCTAACTACACAGCGGCGGAACGGGGACGCCCCTCCCTCCTGCCGTCGGAGCAGCAGATGGAGGGAGAGGGGACCAGCCCCCTGGATGGTTGAGATGAGTGGAAGAAGATCTTCTCCCTAGTCGTGTGGCTCGTCGCATAGGCTAGGGTAGGTGTTGGAGTATAAGCAAATTGTCCATCTTTTCTCATCAGCTTAAGCTTTTTGAGTTGAACTAGTTGGTGCATGCAACTTAATATGGTATTAGAGCCAGAGATCTCGAGTTCGAATCCTGGCGGGCGCGTTAATTAAAATAATTACAGTCCACTCTAATATCCACATATGCGGCCTGAGGAGCCTGCACGTGAGAGGAAGTGTTGGAGTATAAGTGCATGCAACTCAATAGTGGGAAAACACGATTACGCATGTGACCGATCAACAATAGCATCAGCAGGGAAGGTCAACTACGTACATACTCGTGGCTGAGAGTCGGGCCAGATTAGTGACTTGCCAAAAGGATTGTAAACATTACTTAATCAATGGAACTATCCTTTCCGTGAAAAAAAAGTATCCCTGGTAGTAAATACAAGAGAATTGTATATAAGTATATTGTATGTATGTGTATATATTTTGTATACGTACCGAAGGTGTGCGCGAAGGTGTCCCAGATGGTCTGCCCTCTCCCGTCCGCCTTCACCGCCCCCTCATACTGCACAAGACAATGCCGTATTATTTCACGTTCCAGCGGAAGATTTTATACGATCGAGCCATGTCAAGTGCGCAGTCTTATTAGGTGGAGTGGAGCTCGTTTCTGAATCAAATGTATACTATTGATCTCACCATGACATGGTTGGCACTCGGCAGCACTATTTTATTTTATCTTGCATGATTGCCACTCGGTACCATGTGCGTCCACAGTCCACACAAGCCAAACGCACAACACGAGCACAGCGGCATGTGCCCACGGTGGTCGTCTCCTCCGCCCCTGAAGCGGCGGGATCGATCGGGGTCGAACCGAGCATGTGGACGCACGCGCCGACTACGCCAGCTCCATCCTACGCTACGCGGCAGCGGCATGTTTTCGGTAGGTTTGCCGATCGAGGTCAACCCGCTAGCCACCGCGGCGCCGGCCAGGAGAATGGCATCCGAGGGATCGGGACAGGTCGCGGTAGAGCATGCATGCCTGCTCCTTGACTATGAAGATCGATCCGTTCTACTGTAGCAGTACATTGTAGTCTTGGCATGGCGACGAATGGTGATGAGTCGTTTAGTCGGTGACACAAAATTTGACTAGGGCTACTCAGTAATGGCAGTAACAACGCATGCATGATCATTTCCACACATGTATGGATGCATCCTACGGAGTCCAGACAATCAATGGCGCCGTCAGATTTGCCGGAAACTAGCTAGGGAGGGGCGGCGGATCGGAGCAGGGAATGGAGGAACCAACAGCAACAAACCTGGTACGCGGAGGATGCTGTGCCGAAGACGAACCCGTCGGGGAAGCTCCCCCTCGTGAGCACTCCGCCGCTCTGCGCGACGCATCCCCGCGGCGGCGCGGCGAGGAGGAGAAGCAGAGCCAGCGACGCCGCCGCCGCGAAGCTTTCGCGGCCGCACTGCCGCGGCATCTTTATCCCCATACCGCGAGCGAGAGAGAAAAGGCGGGAGGGAGGCGCACGACGTGGGGCCTGGGCTCCGGAGAGCGCCGATAGAGAAAGAGACGAAGCTATAGAGTGTGCGCGTGCCTATGTGTGTTTGCCGGCGTGTTGGCGGGGAAGTATTTATAATGGCGAGGGAAATTGAGGCATGCACGCCTTCCACTGAAAATCCATCAGACCGTACTGGACTGGGCGATCGCTTTAAGCGAATGAAGGCTAAAGCGACGTTAGAGCAACTCCAACGGGCCGACCTAAATGGACGGCGATTTCGTTTACCTTTTGTCCGTTTGGATCGGCTGCCCACCCGGCGTCCGCCCTGTTTTTGATATGGGTCAGCAGAGCGTCCAACGCGTCGACTCATATGTGCAGGCATAGTCGGTTGACTGTCCAATTTTACATTGATTTGCATTCAAACATATTGTTGAATGAAAATGTTAAAACAAGTCAAATAGTCTGGCCGCCCAAATAAATAATATAGTTTTACAAGCTAAATACAAATAAAAATGTTTCACATAGTTTTTAAACGAATAAAAGAAGATACAATCTATTGGTTGCTAATAACATGAGTCCATATATGCTCAACCAAATCATTTTGCAGTTGCATGTGAGTTTCCCAATCACGCATGTCTTCATCAACTGAGTGAACTGCTCAAATGTTGCCGCTACTCCATGCTCAGGCACAACATTCTCACCCTGAAACTGAAAGCCTTGATCGTACAGACGTTCCGGGCGCTCGTCTTCTACGATCATATTGTGTATGATCACACAAGCAGTCATCACCTCCCATAGTTTCTGCGTACTTCAAGTATTAGCAGGATACCAAACGATGCCCCATCGAGATTGTAAAACACCAAAAGCACGCTCGACATCCTTCCTAGCACTCTCTTGCTCTTGGGCAAATCTTTTCCTTTTCTCTCCGACAGGGTTGGGTATTGTCTTGACAATAGTGGTCCACTGAGGATAGATACCGTCATCCAAATAGTACCCTTTGTCGTAGTTGTGACCGTTGACAGTAAAGTTCACCGGTGGGCTGTTGCCTTCGGCAAGCCTAGCAAACACCGGCGAGCGCTGAAGCACGTTGATACCATTGTGTGATCCAGCCATGCCAAAGAAAGAGTGACAGATTCAGAGATCTTGAGACGCCACGACCTCTAGTATGACAGTGCAAGCCCTGACATGTCCCTTATACTGCCCTTATCAAGCAGAAGGGCAGTTCTTCCACTCCCAGTGCATGCAGTCTATGCTGCCAAGCATCCCCGGGAAGCCCCTGCTGGCATTCATCGCCAGCAAATGGGCTGTATCTTCAGCTGTCGGCTCTCTCAAGTACCCAGGGCCAAACACAGCAATCACAGCCTTGCAGAACTTATACAGGTACTCTAGGCATGTAGACTCGCTCATACGAACCTACTCGTCAATGAGATAACCGGGCACTCCGTATGCAAGCATTCGGATGACGGCAATGCATTTCTGATAAGAGGAGAAACCAATCTTGCCGACGGCATCCTCTTTGCACTCGAAGTAGTCATCATAGCCAACCACTCCCTCTCTAATACGGTTGAAAACATGCCTACTCATACGAAACCGGCGGCGAAATTTGTGATGTTTGAACAACGGGTTTGTTGTATTAAAGTAGTCCTTCCAGAGAAGGAAATGCCCGCTCTCTCGGTTGCGATTCAACACCGAAAGGTGGCCCAGAATGGAGCCATGAAACGACGGCCGCTGGCTGTTGAGGTGGTGATGGACCAACACGACAGCCAATATCTCCTCCTCATTGTCGGATGACGAATCGTCGGAGTTGCAAAGTAAATTATGGAAAAAGAACTCGTCGGCGGAGTCCATCTCGTACCTTGGCAAACTGTCGAACAGCTTGCGGGCGTCGATGAAGGAGACGGCCGGCGAGGGAGTCGCGGCGCCCACAGACCAGCTAGCTGCCCTGCTGGCGTCCGGCGAGTGTGACAGCATGCGACGAGCATGCCGGTCGGATGTGGCAGGGGCGGCGAGGCGGCTTCTTGGTCACGGGCGGCTGTGCGGTGGGGGAAGCGGCA